GAGAATATATTCATGACTTGAGTTTGAGCAAAGAGTTCTTAGATATGATACCAAATGCATGATCTATAAAAGAAAAACACTGACAAATTGGAATTCATCAAAATTAAAAACTTTTGCTCTACAAAACCCACTGTTAAGAGAATGGAAGAACCAGCTACAGATAGGGAGAAAATCTTTACAAATCACATATCCAACAAAGGACTTGTATCCATAGGGGAACAGCCAGAGCCTGGTGAGCTGGCACATTTCTGCATAGACCACATAGGCGGCTGAATCTTGACAGACAGCCTGTGACCCCTCTAGAACATGAGAGCATGGGAGACTTGTGAGGTGCTGCTACCAGGCCATTTCTTACTTGCTTCCCTATCTACCCAGGGGGTGTCATGAGACAGCTTCTCATCATTTCAGGGTTCTGATGGGGTATGAGGGTTTCTGCTTTGCCACCCTTAAGGCACACCTGCAGCTATAAAACTGATTAGCAGCGTCATGGGACAGAATCCTCAGCAACAGTGTCCCATCATTCTTGTGGCAGTCATTTGGCCTCTTTTGTTTCAGTGTCATCCTGCACAAAGGCACAGACAGCTGGCACCTCTCTATGTAAGCAATAAACTGAGTCCACAAAGGACTCCTTGTTTCTTTACTGGCTGAATCTGTCAGGCGGGCTTTGCCTTGTGTTTGACAGTATCGGAATATATAAAGAAATCTCACAGCTCAATACCAAGAAAATAAGCAACCCAACTAAAAAATGGGCAAAAGGTCTGAACAGACAATCCACCAAAGAAGATATGTGGAGGTCAAATAAGCACACGAGAAGCTGTTCGATATCATAAGACATTTGCATCAAATGCAAATTAAAACCACGAGATACCACTACACATCTATTAGAATGGCCGAAATAAAGAACACAAGTGCTAGAGAAGATGCAGAGCAACTGGAACTCTTACCTTGCTGGTGGGAAGGCAAAATGGTACGGGCATTCTGCAAAAACAGCTTGGCAGTTTCTTATGGAGTTAAAAGTACATTTACCTTCATGACCCAACAATTCCTCTTCTGGGTACTTAATCTCAGCAACCACAATGTCCTTAAGCAGGTGAAGGAACAAACTGTGGTACGTCCATACAGCAGAATACTAATTAGCACTAAAAAAGGAATGAGCTGTTAACTCACACGATGTGCGTGAATGAGTCTTAAATGCATTTGTGCTAAGAAGCCATTCTCAAAAGTTTACGTACTATTTGAGTCCATTTATGTGACAGTCTCAAAATGACAAAACTATAATAGAACAGATCAGTGGTTGTCAGGGGTTAGAGGTGCAGAGAGGGTGTGGCTATAAAGGGCATGAGGTACTTTTTTGGGGTAATGGAACTGTTCTGTATTCTGATTGTGGTGGTGCTTGCATGAATCTATATACATGCTAAAATTCAAAGAACCAAAAAGGCAATTTTACTGTATGTATGTATACCCAAAAAAGGTAAATTTGCTGTACGTTAATTTAAAAAATAAGATTTAAAAAGAAAGAGAAAAGTAAAAAAGAGCGAAAGGTGGACTGTTATTAAAAAAAAAAAAAAAGGAAAAGAAAAAGGGGCCAGCCCCGTGGCCTAGCAGTTAAGTGCACGCACTCCACTGCTGGCAGCCCGGGTTTGGATCCTGGGTGCACACCAACGTACCGCTTGTCGGGCCATGCTGTGGTGGCGTCCCATATAAAGTGGAGGAAGAAGGGCACAGATTTTGGCCCAGGGCCAGTCTTCCTCAGCAAAAAGAGGAGGATTGGTGTGGATGTTAGCTCAGGGCTGATCTGCCTCACACACAAAAAAAAAAGAGAGAGAGAGAGACTTAGGAGACAATACAAAAAAATGCAACTTGTGCACCTTGCTTGGATCTTGATTTGAACAAACCAACTACGAAAGGCATTCTTGATATAACCAAAACAAATTTAATGTCAATTTGGAACTGGTTAAATCTAAGTTTTTAAATTATGATAATGTCCTTGAGGTTATATACAAAAACCCTCATCGGTTGGCTATCTATTCCGAAATATATATGTGTGTGTGAACTAAAGTTAAGTCTGGTTTTGCTTTAAAATAACTGAGCAAAAAAAAGTGGGAGAGATAAACTGGCAAATGTTGAAGCTAGAGGTTCATTATACTATCTTCACTATTTTTGAGTATGTTTGAAGTTTTCTGTGATTTTTCTTAAAAATGGAAAATGGAACTTCAGAAATAGAGAACTTCTTTTCAACATTTATTATAAAGCAGTGGAAATCATAGGCCTACAGTTTGTTTCCATCTCAATGTCAAATCTTTCCAATGACTCCAAATAAATAAATGCTGTGTGTGCCAAAAATAATACTGACGTATGAAAAAAACCAGTCTCCTGGAAATCTTATACCTTGAGCAATAAACTACTAAAATTACTAGATTAGTAAAGATTTGCAGTTAAATTTTAAATAGCAAATCAAAACAGCTTCTTTTACATGTTGTCATTTTCAGTGACACCATCAAAGAAATAAAGGGCAAAAATAATTTTAAAGCAAGAATTATGATTCTAAAAATCTCAGCCAAAACCCAAAATTACTCAGGCTTTTTGATTCTCATTAATTATTTACACAGTGTGGCTTTCTTGCTGTGTTGGTCCAGTCTGTTCTTTTGAGCATTATTGTTATTTATTGTTTCTTGAGCAGTTAGCACTGCATGAGATACGGATGATAAATCCCCTCCCTAGGGGACAATCAAAGCCACACAAACAAAACACTAAGACCAGCTATTTAAGAAATGAAAACCAAATGGGAGGTTAAGAAACACATTCTGAATTCCCTTTTTTCCTTTCAGCTTTAAGCCTATGATACAACAGATGCTTCTTTCGGGGGTGCAAAACCAGACTGTGGTTGGCAAGACAAAGACACTAACCGGCTTAGAAGAGACAGAAAACATCCCAGAGATCATTCCAAGAAAATATCCTACCTCGGAAAGCCTTTCACTTTCTGACATATAAAGATTACTGGAACCTATTCCTAGCTCTACGGACTGTAACAGCTCTGTCCATGTGTGTGAGGATGATTTAGGTCTGCCCAGCAGACTTTTCTCATCCATCTCTTCTTTTTTGTTTTTCCCTTTTTCTCCCCAAAGCCCCAGTAGATAGTTGTATGTCATAGTTGCACATCCTTCTAGTTGCTGTATGTGGGACGCGGCCTCAGCATGGCTGGAGAAGCAGTGCGTCAGTGCGCGCCCCGGATCTGAACCCGGGCCGCCAGTAGCGGAGCGCGTGCACTTAACCACTACGCCACGGGGCCGGCTACCCATCCCTCTCTTTTGGTAATTCACTCCCTGCTTCAGAAGCTGCTTCCCCCAGTCCAAGTGTTCCTCATGGGACTGTCAATCACAGGGCACCTTTCCCCTCCCTTATAATGACATTGTGCTGAAAGACACAGGCCTGGAGCAGCCCAAGGTCATATTTACAGGCCCTGTAATGAAATTTCTCTGCAGTGTTCATTAGGCCAATTTGCAAAGAAAAGTAAAAATAAGTGACCACAGTGTAAGTTCTGGCAGTTCTAAACCGCAGAACCGGGCCCTTGAGACCCTAGTTCCTACAGTTCTTTAGACTATGTGAGCTACTCCACAATCCTTTAAAGCTAGTACTTTTGCTTAGGATGGTGTGAATTGGGTTTCTTTTGTCATTTGCACCTGAAGGAATCCTGAGAAGTTAAATAACTTGCCTAAGGTCCAATGGCTCCTAATGGTAGAGTCATCATTCAAACCCAGGTCTGTCCATCTCTACATAGTAGGCTGTTCCTACGATGTTAATTTACTTGTTATCCTACACGTGTTGTACTCCTAAAATCTAGTTTCCTTTAAGATTGAGAAAAACGGGAAAGGAACTGTGGGGGAGGTAGTCTGTGTAATCCTGTTCACTTCCAGGTAGTAGGAGGGAGGTGAAATCAGCAAATACAGTAAAATCTAATAAAAATTTATTTTATCCCATTTTGCATGGTATTTAATGCATATAAGCAAGAACTCAAGCTGGCAATCATACAAACTTCTACCCAAGAGCAAATCAAAACTCTGTTAATTCTAGGAAAGAAGGGTATCAAAGTATTTTCTCTTCCTTCTGCTCTATCCAGTTGCAACAGTTACATAAAAATGTTTCCCATTTTCCTATTTTAAATGATTACTTTATTTCTTTTATTGCACTTATCATGATTTGAAATTATCTTGTTTATTTACTTCTCACTCTATTTATTACAACTTATTTGTTTATTCACTTATTAGCAGGGATCTTGCCAGTTTCGTTTGCCATCATATTTTTGACAGCCTGGCTTAGAGAAGACACAAAGTATTTGTTAAATTAATTTGAAAAAGTACATTGTTCCAAAATAAAAGTCACTGTTTTGATATCTATAAAACCTACCAACATCTTGAAACTAAAGGTTGATGGATTATTCTGTGTTCTCCTATATACTAAACTGGGTTGGAAATCTGTTGAAAGCCCAGGTGTCAGTAGATGAGAGAAGCAACCACATTCTCTAGTTGGGGTTAGGCAAATGCTGCTTCCAAGGCTGTAGGTAGGGAGGCTTCCTGCCTCAGCTAGAGCAGCTCTGTATTCATCAGCATTTTGCAGGGACTCTCTGCATAGCTTTCGTTTGAAGAAAGGGTTCCATTGCTTACAGAGGCTTAGGGTAGGGTGGTAGAAACCACTCTTTCTGGAGAATTTGGAGCAAAAAACAGCTGAAATTATTTTGCATTCTAAATTATATTTATTTTTTCCTTTCAAAGTCAATGTGCTTTAAGTATTATTAGTGTTTTTATAGTACAATAAAATTATTTCTGCCTTAGTTTTAAAGATTTGAGCAATTATGCTTTTGAAGAATTTTAGGGATAAATGAGACACTAAGGCTTCTCGAATCAGCAAATCTTTGCCTTTTAGCTATATAAAAGTTAAACTTTATATTGGAGAATTTTAGAATTTTTGGATTTCTCCTCCCACTGAGTTAATCTTCTGTTTGCATTTGATTTCTTTCCCTATAGAAAGAGCATACAAAAACATGTTTAGTGTTTCCTCCCTTTCCAGGTTGCATTTTATCTTGAGTAGATTTAAAACCAGATTAGTTGTAATAGGATTCCAGGATGTGGGCAGACGTCTACTTGTCCCTGACGATCTCTCTTGCAATCAGTTCCTTCATTATTTCATTGGTACCACAGATTGGCTGAGCTGGGGCATCCTCATAAGCTCTGGATAAATCAAAAGATGATCAAATGAATAAATGAAAGATATTAGAAATTATAAGTTTTGTCTCACCAGGTAACTATTAAAGTATTCATTTATTTAAATCCAAACAATAAAAAAGTTCTTCATAAATTACTTTTTTTTCAGGATGGCATTCATCCTAGATTGGTATAATTATAAAATCCTATTAAGATATGGATCATCTGCCGTAGCTTTGTTTTAGTTTGCTTAAGAGACAACAAATTCAAAATAACTTTTATAAATATGTTTCATTTGATTTAATTTTGTAAAATTCAACACATATAATAGCATTCCAAAAAAGGCTGGTTTAGATTTAGAAAGGGATGGAATGTCTTAATTTCTTGTTATCTTTGTTTCTCCAAAAAGTTTAAATCCACTGGTTTTACAGAAAACAAAAGAAAAAAGAAAGTACATATTTTCTAACATCTTTTAGATTCCCATCACCTCTGCTGCCGTCAGGGGTATAAACTGATGCTTCAGAAAATATTACTTCCCACAAAGTTAACAAGTAACTTATTTTTTGGAAATGCTTAATAGTCACTCCAGTAACGTACGAGGTTAAAATACTGAGTGGCTGAGTCCACTGCCACAAAAAAAAACACAAAAAAATGTTATCAGGAATTCACCTTTGGTAGCGATGACAGCAACCATGACACCGTACAGTTGTTTTTACCTGTTCTCACCTCATTTTATCCTCTTAGGTCTGGGATCAGGGAGGATAAATATGATCATTTTGCAGGTAAAGGAACTGAGGGGCAGAAAAGTTAATACATTTACTAATTAATGGTGGCTATTCAATGGTTACATAACAGATCACTGGCAGATTGGAATGAGAAGGTGGGTATCCTGGCACTTCGGCAAGTATCTTTTTTGTTATATCACAATATTGTCACTGGCCCAGGCATGCAGGACTCATTACTGAGCTCTGGACTTTCCTAGCAGACAAATGCAAAGGCATTTTTTTTTAAGCATAAAATCTGTTTTTTTTTTTTTAATTTAGTTTTTGAGACAAATTCAATGTGCCAGCTCTCTAGGAACATGACCCATTCTGCTTATTCTGCTCCATACTCATCATGGTACCGTGCAAACAGTAAGCACTCGGTCAATATTTACTGATTTGATTTACTGTATTACAAGGGAATTTTAGAGTCTCAATACCTACTCTCCGATGAAACTTGAAATCTAGAGACATTTGTGTTTCAAATATAATTCTTTGGAACAGATTCCATTGTTGACCACGAAATCCAGCCCCCGCATTTACTGGACCTACCTAGCGTTTCAGCCAACTTCAGCAATCTCAGAGCTGGACTTGGCTGGGCATTCTTTTTCACATTAAAGAAGTTCCAGTGGAGTAGGTAATGACAGAGACCAGTGGACCTTTCATAGGTTACTAATTAAAATCAGTCATCAACTAAAATTAACAGAGAAAGGCAGCAGAAGGAATGTTTAGCCACACAGTGATGAAGCTCTATATCTCTGCTCTTCCCAGCACGGCAGAGAAGTCCAGGAAAATGGCAAACCATAAGCCTCACTTCTCACAGGCCCCAAGCCTAGTGAGTGAGACTAAACAGACTCACATGCTCAAGACCAGTTATTTGAATAAAAACACACACACACAAAAACTCCCCAAAATGAAATGAAACAAAACAAAAAAGCAAAAAAAGTATCTCCTTTATCGGTGAAACCAAGACTCAGCAACGCGCCTGCACGCGCATACACACACACACACACACACACACACACACAATATGGCTTAATCTGAGGATTTAAGAAACACAATTAGAATGACTTTTTTCTATCAAATCAGAGTCTGCACACTGCATCCACATAGCGCCTAATGTGTCGGATTAGCTTTTTTGATATTATCTACTACTCTCTCTTTTGTTATAAAAAGTTTCTTCCCAGTGTCTTTGGGTAGAGAAACAGCAGTCTAGTTTAAAAGTTCATACAATCTTTGAACTAACAAGCTGGACAACAGGGGATTATTATTCCCCAAGGGAAATATAAGTCTCTCAAATTGAAACCAGGGATTTCAAAGAAGCCATGAAGCTACAATTTTTGCTTGCTACTGACCTGAAGGAATTGCCTCTGAGAAAAGAGACCAAGACTGAAGCTATACTCTGATCCTGGGCCCTGTAGATGGCCGACCCCTCCTCGCCTGCTATGCCTTTCTTAGAACCGAAACTAAACTAGACAAACACTGCACCACATGTCTACATTCCCAGCAGCAGTTGTAACAGCACAGTTAAGTAGAAAAACATAAACATCCATTATTTTACTTTCTCAGCATTGTGAATATTGTGAATAAGATGAGTTAATATTGTGAGTAAAACATGAAAATGCACAGGAAAAGTTCCACTGATGATTTAATTTGTGCTAGCACAACTCAGTGTTTACTTCTGGCTTCATGACTATACAAAGATAAAAGAAAATAAATCTGCTTCTGATTAAGGCCTATTTGAAGTAGTTCTGAAAGGATATACCAAAATCCAAGTCCAAGGATGGATAAAAAAAGAAAGCATTTAGCTCCTTCATGCCTGCATTCCCAAGGAAGGGAACAGCCCTCGTTGTTGCTGAGTTTGTAAAGATTGTAAATTATACACACCCTGTGATTTAAGTTTTCTGAGCCGCCCAATTGCTACAGAAAATTAGTTAATTATATCTATGATGGAGCTTCTGTTCTTAATCTAACTTCAATAAAATGTTTATTTTCCTCATTAAAGACTATCAAATGTTTTCAATTATGATGGCCAAAATGACAGATTTGAAAGTCACTTTGAATACTAGTTTGATCCTTTTTCCCTTTAGATACTCTGTATTTGGATTAAAATTAGAAAGTTTTTAGAAGCCCATACCATTCTCAGTCTCAGATTCAGAACTAAATTGGACTTCTCTCTATATAGCAAAAAGCTCCTTGGGAAAATACTGCTAAATAAGAGGAAAAATACATTTTCTAGAGTGATGAGGAGAACTGCCATGGGGAGATTATCAAGGGAAAAGACTATGGGAAGAGGGAAAGGAGAAATTTTGGAGATGGAGGAAGAAATAGGGAAGAGGATGCTGCCTATTGACAAACTAGGACTGCTTGGAACTAATGACAGGAATATTCATATGCGATACAATAAAAAAGGGTGCATTTAATTCCCTTTAATTTGAAGGAAATAAAAACTCTAGTCGGAGAAAATTAATACTTTTGATTTGTTTTTTAGAGCAAATAAATAATCAAAAATTTAAATATGACAACTCAGATCCTCTTCATATGCAGGTTAATTTTTCTGTAGTGTCATGTTTTTTCTTTAGTTTTAAAAAAGTGATATTTCCAAAGAAGACATATAAATTACCAACAGGTATGTGAAAAAAAATGCTCAGTGTCACTAATCATCAGGGAAATGCAAATCAAAACGACAATCAGATGTCATCTTACACCTGTCAGGATGGCTATTATCAAAAAAACAAAAGACAAGTGTTGGTGATGATATGGAGAAACTGGAACTCCTGCACGCTGTTGGAGGGAATGTAATCGGTGCAGCCGCTATGGAAAACAGTGTGGAGGTTCTTTAAAAAATTAAATAGAACTACCATATGATCCAGAAATCCCACTTCTAGATATTTATTCAAAAGAATTGAAATCAGGACCTCTAAATGATATTAGCACTCACACGTTTATTGCAGTATTATTCGCAGTAGCCAAGATGTGGAAACAACCTAAATGTCCATAGACAGGTGAATGGGTAAAGAAAATGTAGTATATACATACGATGGAATTCTATTCAACCTTAAAACAGAAGGAAATTCTGCAATCTGTGACAACTTGGATGAACCTTGAGGACATGCTGCTAAGTGAAATAAGTCAGTCATTGATTCCACCTATATGAGGTATCTAAAAGAGTCAAATTCACAGAATCAAACAGAAACGGTGGTTGCCAGCGGCTAAGGGGAGGGGGAAATAGGAAGTTACTTATCAATGGGCATAAAGTTTCAATTAAGGAAGACGAATGAGGTCCCGCCCCTGGCTTAGCGGTTAAGTGCGCACGCTCTGCTATTGGCGGCCCAGGTTTGGATCCTGGGTGCGCACTGACTCACCGCTTCTCCGGCCATGCTGAGGCCGCGTCCCACATACAGCAACTAGAAGGATGTGCAACTATGACATACAACTATCTACTGGGGCTTTGGGGGAAACATAACTAAATAAAAATTAAAAAAAAAAAGAATACTTTAAAAAAAAAAAAAAAAGGAAGACGAATGAGCTCTAGACATCCACATACAACATTGTACCTATAGTTGACAATACTCTATGGTACACTCAAAAATTTTTGAAGAGCATAGATCTCATGTTAAGCGTTCTCACCACAGTAAAAATAAAATAAAATAATTAATAGTCAATGCGAATTAAAGGAAGAATGATAACTTATTTTTACCCATTAGATTAGCACAAAGTTTAAAAGGCAATAACTTTCATAGCTCAAGAGGATAAGTCATCCTCAGACATTGTTCATTTGAGTATGAGTTTCTACAAACTGGAGGAAGTAATCTGGCAATGTGTTAATATTTAAAATATGCATACTTTCCAACTAGCAATACTTCTTTTCGGACTCTGTCCTGTTGTAATCAAAAACATGTATCTAAGATAAATGTATATATAAAGGTTTTTGTTGCAGCATTGTTGTCATAGTAAAAAGCTAGAAATAACCTAAATAATTATGGTGAATCAATAAAATATTATTCAACTATAAAAAAAGTGCTCTTAGTCCTTCTGTATAATGATTCAAATAAAGCCAAGCGTCAAGCTTTAGTATATTGGTCTCTTCACTTTTCCATGAAAATGACAAAATCCTAGTGGTGAGCTGATAACATAAAGCCATTTCCATCCGTTTGAACACACTCTGCAGTCATTTGAAAAATGCAAAGATTTTGTACCTCCTTTCCCTCTATACTCAATGTACAAAGTACAGAAAAGAAATTTTTTTTCCTTCCCATCATCCTGGAGATGTAACACAATAGCCATACTCACTTTGCGACTGGGAACTCCGACATGTATCCCCAGCCTCCGTGGAGCTGTACAGTCATAAGCTACGCTGTTTTGTAACTCAGATGCCCTAGACGACCAAAAAAAAAAAGCAGAAAGGGACATTTGAAGTGGACTTTCATGAGGTGCTTCACAATCAGGAAACAAACTATTGATGAGCGTTTAAATGCATACATTTTCAAACAATTAAAATTAGACATATTAGTTAACCAGAGAAAATTGGTATAAATTACATATGAAATAAATCTCAGGAGAATTTTCACATAATGAATATTTTCTTCATCAACTATACTTCTGGCTGGGTTTTTGTTAAGGCTAGAAACAAAATGTAGAACGCTTAGATTATTAGCTTTTGGCTACATTAGACCTGAAAAGGATACAGTAAAAACTTGAATTTGGTCTAATTTATTTAGATTCTCTATATGATCTAAGTTAACTGCATAATTATATAGCCATCTATTTCCTTTTGCCTTTGTAATGTCTTTTTTTCCTCCAAAGATGTCACTTCCTACCTGAAGGTTGCAATTCTGAATTTCAGTAACTGTGAAAAAAAATTTTTTTTAGGGTTTTCAGAAATAAACTGAAAGTAAAAGTGAAAACCTAAGGGCAGACTCTTCAAGTACCCACCATCATAGAGGAAACTCATTAAAGGTGATTTGGGAATTATTATTCCTGAATTATATGTGTATTAATATGAAGTACTTGAGAAATGTTCTTTTCTGATCTTATCACAGCAATCTTAATTATTCAAATCCATAAGATACCTGGTAGAGATTTTATTCATCTTAACATTTAATAAAATTTAGTTCAAAATTCTTTTCAACTTATTTTTCGGCAGTGGGAAACAGAAAGCAAAGGTAAGCATAGACACATTTTCCTATTTAAAATAATTTTTAATTCAAGCCAAAGGACAGGTGAGGATATTCCTAAGAATACAGTAACAATATAATGATTAACAGACAAGACTCATGGGGCAACAATATTTGGAATTCTATAAATTTTTGTGGTCGGTAAGTATTTTAGTGAAATATTTACTGGGCCATAACGAGTTGCTTCCGCCGCTTCAACGTGAAATACCAATATGTCTATCAACGTGGTGTTTTCAAAGAATGAGGTCAATAGATAGCCAAATATCTATTCTTCCAAAGATATGTTATCTAAAAATTTTTTTACACTTTTTCCAACCCGTCAAAGAACCTGCTATAAAGGTAAATGTAAAATGTCTCCCCCAAAAGTGTAAGTTCCTAGTAATTCCACATCCATCAATTGCAACCTGGCAACTTTATTAGCTTGGAATCATTACATAAAGCAATTTTTCTGCACATTTCCCCATTCCACTTCTGACTGAACTGAACGCAAGTTAATGAATAATGACAAGAATTTTTTCTAGGTTATTTTTGGGTTAATGAGATGTAAGAATGTTTGTTTTTTATAAAACAGAGGAAACCAAACCCACTTCCAGAATCTGATTTAAACTATGTTCTTGCATCTTAAAATATAGAATAGGGGTCTTTTTTCAATTAACTCATCTTTAATAACATTGCTAATCATCTTTAATACAAATGAAAGTCTTTGTAAAATTAATAGGACTTTTTTCCTTTCACTTAATGGAGCATGTGCAATTTTGATTAGACAGTCAATTCTTCAGAAATTTTTCTTAGATCTGGAAAACACCATAATAGAAAAATCCAATCCAACCTGCTCATTTCACAGATATTAAAATGTTGGCCCAGAGAGAATGAAATTTAATTATAGTTATTTAGCGAAAGAATTGGGGCTCTATCTCAGGTCTTGAAGTTTTACTCTTCCTTTTTGGTCTCACTATACTGCCACTCTTCAGATAATCTGAAATTAAACTATTACTTGAATGAACTAATCGGTCATCCTACTTCAGTCTGTTAATATTTTATTTTCAATGGCAAGCTAAAAGTTAAATACCAACTTGAGTAATTTTTAGCGCATTATAAATAGGCTTACTAGGACCTTTCAGCAATTTTTAAAAAGTTGGTTCTTACTGCTAGTTTTCGTTTACATAGCCTTCTTCCTTCGAGACCATCAAGGCTGAGACTAAAGTTAGAAGAATTCCATAACAGCCTGTGCAAACACCACATTGTAATTACTGTCACACGCATACCAATATTTCCCCACGGAAGCAGTAGCAGAGGCCAGACATTTCGCTTCACACAGCTGGAGACAGCTGTCCACAAAAGCTCTGGTTACACAAATGTGTGTTTTTAATTCTGCTAGCTTATGCTGCACCGTCTTGAGTTTAAAGGAAATGAAAGAAAAGAATGAGCACAGTAGAAGAGCATATTTTGAGTCAACTAGCATATCAAAAATTATATAATAAAAGATCTTTAGAGCAAAACAAAAGTGGAATTCCTGAGGTTTTTTTCCTCCAAAAAAGAGGCACATGTTAACCAAACAGCTTAAATTTAAAACCCACTATATTTCATTGCTAAGCAAACTTGTACTAAAAGATGCAAAAATAGATAAATACATAAATAATCTCTCATGTTTTAGATTAAAAAATTTAGGCCATTTAGGGAAACTTCTTTTTTTTTTTTTTTTTGTGAGGAAGATCAGCCCTGAGCTAACATCCATGCTAATCCTCCTCTTTTTGCTGAGGAAGACTGGCTCTGAGCTAACATCTATTGCCAATCCTCCTCGTTTTTTTTCCCCAAAGCCCCAGTACACACTTGTATGTCATAGTCGCACATCCTTCTAGTTGATGTATGTGGGACGCGGCCTCAGCATGGCCTGACAAGCCGTACGTTGGTGCGCGCCTGGGATCCGAACCCGGGCCGCCAGTAGCGGAGCGCGCGCACTGAACCACTAAGCCACAGGGCCGGCCCTAGGAAAACTTCTTGAAGAACAGCATGACTTTAATGGGTGAGCACCATCTTGTGGTACAGTCCTTTAGGTACAGGTGTTGGAAACCGATTTTCCTTCAGAATCTAAATCCATGAAGAATTTTTCTCTATTAATGAAATTAAGTATACACATTTCTCTCTTCTGCTTCTTTGTTGTGGAGTAAGGTAATAAAGTAACAAACTGGAGGGACAACATCAAAAATTTTACTTTTGTTTATTAGACATTATTATTTTATATTGCAAAGTATTTAATCTAGATCTGTAAAATGCAATAGGAGAATAACCGAATCAAAGCACTCAAAAGATCAAAGTCCAGTTCCCCCAGCCTCTTCTACCTCTCCCCACCCTCCCTCTTATCCTCTCAACAGCCGGTCCAGCACAGTCTCTAACTTGAACTGAATGGTCTGGAGCTGTCAATGTTAACATATCTATATACCTCCTTCTGCTGGCCACAGACAATCAACAGTGTTCTTGGAAATCATTCTGTGTAGTCCATCCTCAACTGTTCTCAACTGTTCTCACTTTGATCAAATTTTCCTGCGTTCCTGACTCTTGGCTCTCACATCTGGAACTTTTGAGTTTACATCTGGTCTCTTTGGTACCAATTCTCAAACCTCCTTCAGGAAACTGGCTTAGATTTGAAATACTGGCTTTCCATCTTGAGTAACCTCCAAAAATACACTCCATTGTAGGTTCAAGGCCCAGCTATGGTCAGCTGGCTCTATCTTCCTTCTGGAAATCCAGATAGAAACAGAGTTTTGAGCATTCGGCTGTGGAACTTATGAGTGAGACCTTCACTGTGGCTAATCAAAGGCATGGAAGTTAGTGACAAGAGGTGGCACAGCGAAACTCAAATTAGAAATTAAATGCACCCCATCTATGCAGTGGCAAGTCCAAAGCCATGACTGAGTTCTCCAAGGAAGGCTTTAGGGACCTTCTCAGAGGATACTGGCCCTGCCTCTACATCTGGTTACAGCAATTCTCAAACCACTAAACCAAACCTTTCAGCATCATCGTGGTGGGGACAGTTTGGGTAATTTCCATTTCTGGAAAAGAGCAGAAAAGGGGTCTAATAAGACCCAGGACCAGGCAAGACCAGGGTGCATCCAGTGGACCAGGAGCTCTGAGGGACAGACTCCTCACAGGTGTATCAACATAGCTACTGTGCTCATGAAAAATCCAACTGGCTGCCTCTCCCTTGGCTTTACCCCTCCCTGTTCTAGAAACAGACAAGGTGACTGGCATCTAATGATTCCAAAACCAAGCAGTGGGAAGGCTGGCGCCATACTTCTTCCACCTCTGTGTCTTAGCCTCTAATTCAGAACATGCTGAGTTACCTCAAAACTTTCTCCCCCTCCTTCTTTCCCTTCCTTTTTCTATGTCCCTTTCTATTCATTCACATCTAATCAGGCCAAATCTTTACTCGTTAATCAGCACAAAGTTCACACTCCCACCCCACACATCCAACTTTACTCACAGAAAATCTAAAGATGGAACAAACATGAAAAAGTGGGGAAATACTCTTCTAGACATTGAAAACAGATGAGTACATACTCCATGACAATCCCTGAAGCTGAGCTCTACACCCGCTTCTGGTTTAGTTCAAGGACATTATCTGTGATGCTTCATTTGGAAACAAGAGGGAATCTGACAAGCCTCAAGATACTTTTGCCCCCTCCCCCCATGATGGCGCATGTGAGAATTTATGCACTATTTACAGTGTGAGAGAATCAAGATGTCTAAGCCCAATTCTCTCATATGAGAGCTGTTTCTATGGGAATGCTGGGAGCTTCTAGAAGCTGAAGTTAGATGGGCTCATTTGGAATTCTTGCTTCAGTGCATTCAGCCAAGTCCACAGGTTTGAAGGAATTGATGCCTCCAAGAGTACATAATTTACTCTCTGGGGATAAAGAGATTAAATATTTACATATCCTTGGCATTGAGTTGGGTTTTACTACACAGATCTGGTCTTTGCACTTCACTGCAGACACTGCATCATGCTTTCAGAAATTATTCTCCAATGAATGGTAGCTAATAATTGTACCACACATTACTAGTGTGGTACAAAAAGTGAGGTGCTTTTTGTGAATCATCAATATGCTTGTAGCAGCATTTTAAAACATTTGTTAATAGTCACTAATAGATAATACAACAGCTAGCATTAAAAAAAAAGTCCCTGAAATTACTAAGTGGATCAGATACAGTCTCTTTCAGAGTTCTGAAAGGCAAAATTCTTAGAACCATAGAATTATGGAACTGGAAGATGCTTTGGAGAGGTTGTATTCCATTTACACAACACCAATAGTTGTACTCCACTAAATTATGACTCAAATATAAAATATAACAACTTAGGTTTGCTACCTGTTTTTATAGCTAATTAACCTCAAGGTCTTAAGAACTAGATATTCCCTTTCTGGAGGAAAGTAAGGAAGAAGTGTTATTTTTCACCTCTCCTAATCCTTTCCTAAAACTTTGTGCCCTTAGAATCAAGAACACATACTTCACAGGAAATAACTAAAGCTTGCATTAGAAAAGAACATTGACTTTTCACTTCATCATCTGTGGGTGAATTGTGGGGAAAAAAGGCCTATTCTAACTTTCTGGGTAGTAAAACTAGTGGATGGGTTAAGAGTGTAGGTCCCAGAGTGAGAATATTTTTGTGATCTTGTGCAAGTTACTTAACCTCTGTATGCCTCAATATCCTTATCCATAAAATGAGGATAAATATAATACTCACTATATAGAGACGTTGTGAAGAAAAAAAAAGTGGGACAATCCATTTAGCACAGTGCCTGGCACACAGAAAGTGTCAACGACAGACATTATCGTTATTTAATATCTGGATTTTACTATTTTATTGTCCATTCCATGGAAAATCATAAGACGACATCAACTACGGAGAGTATGGATGAAAAGAAATGAAAATCCTGTAACTATTGCTACTTTAGTTTTGTAGGACTCCATTCTAAAAAAAAATAAATAAATAAGTTTGTGAAACTCATCCAAATGGTCAGAAAGGCCCCAAACGTTCAAAATTCAAGGATAACAAAGAGAAAGGAAACTGAATAGATACATGACCATAAAATGACATTTGGCCAAGTATAATGTGACATTTAAAGGTCGTCTATTTCCATGCCACAACTGAAACCACTGTGTATCCAGCTCTAGAACAGGAGATGTCGGGGAGTACTGGTCACTCATCTCCTCTGATACATACCTAGATTGAATACGAAAATATTATTCAAAGATACTTATTTACATGAAACACGAAGACCAGAAGAAATATCTCAGAAATCTCAGAACATATACATTTACTTGGAAAACATACTACTACTCATACCAATAACAAACCTGTGGAAGCAGAATGCTACTGCCCCCTAGAGAAGTTTTAGTAAACTACCTTTGAAAGAAGGCAACAATAAAATGACATGCTTGAAAAGGATTAAAACTACTTTTTCTCTTTTTGCTATCAAAATACATACACACGTACATATATATACACAGACATATTATTAAATAAATAAATATTTTAGAATAAACTTTTTCTCTGATGGGAAAACAGTATACCAATTTTCTATTTCCTTCATGGTTAAATGTGAAATCACACTTAACATTCTGAGCTAGTCATCTTGTAATTTAACATGAAGTCCATAAACACAGGAAGTGTAGATTTCCAAGGGGATGGAAAATAAGTCTATTTGTTTCACTTTTTATAGTATCCAGAATAGAGCTAAAGGCCTGAGCGTTTTAATTAACAGTTTTGACGTAAAAGTGGTGGTGGCTGAATTTGTGAAGCAAATGACAATAATTCCACCTTGGGGACAGTTGGGAAAGTCACAGATACCAGTGGCATCACTCCCTTCACATTGTCAGAAGCCTGTAGTGTGTATTTCCAGATTTACACCCATCACATTACATTTGAGCACACAATGTGTAGAAGGCAATCAATATATATTTGCTCAGTGAAACAAAAAAGAATAAATCACGTTACGTCAGTATTTCTCAACAGGAGACTACCGGCATTTTGAGTGGGACAATTAGTTGCTATACAAAGCTCTCTCTGAATTACAGGACATTCAACAACACTGGGCTCCAGGGCCCCAAATACCAAATACCCCGCGCTGTGCACCCCTACTCTGATATTTCTAAATGCCTGGGGGAAGAGGGCAGTCACTGGGGATCACTGATATGTGTCAATCAGTCACGCATAAGTGAAAGGAAATATAAAGTATAACAACCCTGCTCTTCAGGAAATCACAATTTAGGCAAGTCATACTGTTTTTTAAAATGTTTTCTTGATTAAGTGTGTACATCATTTTTATAGATTCAGAATAACTGTTTTTAGATGTATTATGTCAACAAGAAAGTTAGGGTCTAAAGGAGTTTTTT